CTATCTGAAGCTGACTGAAGCTAACTGAAGCAGTCTGAAGCCGTCTGCAGCCGACTGAACCCGACTGAAGCCAACTGAAGCTAACTGAAGTTATCTGAAGCTATCTGAAGCCATCTGAAGCTGACTGAAGCAAACTAAAGTTATCTGAAGCTATCTGAAGCCATCTGAAGCTGACTGAAGCAAACTAAAGCTAACTGAAGCTGATTGAAGCTGACTGAATCCGTCTGAAGCCGACTGAAGCTGACTGAAGCTGTCTGAAGCTGACTGAAGCTAACTGAAGCTGTCTAAAGCTAACAAAAGCTGTCTGAAGCTGTCTGTAGCTAACTGAAGCCAAATGAAGCCAACTGAAGCTAACTGAAGCTATCTGAATCTGTCTGAAGCTAACAAAACCCATCTGAAGCCGTCTGAATATGACTGAAGCTAACTGAATCTGACTGAAGCTAACTGAAGCTAGCTGAAGCTATCTGAAGCCGACCTGTGCCGTGCGTCCGTCGGCCGTCAGAGCCTCCAGCAGCCCGGCGTTGCTGCTCAGGAACCTCTGCAGAACCGGGTGGTTCTCCGCCTGGAACTCGCTGCGGGTCGCCTCCATTCCTCTCTCCAGCGCCCGCACGTCCTGCAGGACGCTGTCGATCGACACTAAGCGGGAAACCCAGAAAGAGTCGCACTCATCTGACAAAAGTCATGACCTGAACGAGTGGATTTCCAATTAGAAAATTATAAATTCATTTGAAAATCCCTTTAATCCACATGTTTAACACCAGACAAAACAACCCACTGAAGCTAAATGAAGCCCACTGAAGCCCACTGATGCTAACTGAAGCCGTCTGAAGCTGAATGAAGCCTTCTGAAGCTAACTGATGCTAACCGAAGATAACTGATGCTAACCAAAGCTAACTGAAGCTTACTGAAGCCGACTGAAGATAACTGAAGCTTTCTGAAGCTAACTGAAGCCTACTGATGCTAACTGAATCCCACTGAAGCTAACTGAAGCTTTCTGAAGCTTTCTGATGCTAACTGAAGCCCACTGAAAATAACTGAAACTGTCTAAAGCTGATTGAAGCTAACTGAAGCCGCATGAAGCTAACTGATCCTAACTGCTGCCCACTGAAAAAACTCAAGCTAAGTGTAGCTAACCTAAGCCCACTGAAGCTAACTGAGGCCCACTGAATCCAACTGAAGCTAACTGAAGCTAAATTAAGCTAACTGAAACCCACTGAAGCCGACTGAAGCTAACCGAAGCCCACTGAAGCCAACTGAAGCCCACTGAAAATAACTAAAATTGTCTGAAGCTGCATGAAGCTAACTGATCCTAACTGAAGCCCACTGAAAATAACTCAAACCCACTGAAAATAACTGAAGCTGCCTGAAGCTGAATGAAGCTTACTGAAGCTTTCTGAAGCTTTCTGAAGCTAACTGACGCTGAAGCTAATTAAAGCTAACTGAAGCCAACTGAAGCTTTGCAACTTTGCGCTGAGCCGCAGCAGCCAATGGGGCGGCGGCCTGGAGCCCTCAGCAGCCAATGGGGCGCCGGCCTGCTTACCGAGCGCGGCCTTGTCCAGGAAGTGCAGCTCTGTGTGGAAGGCGCTGAGCTCCGGAAGCTTCTGCCGGACGCTGCTCACCAGGAAGTGCAGCAGCGTCCGGCGCCGGTCCGTGGATTTGGTGTCCAGCAGCTGCAGGTTAAAAGGCCAGAAAAATTAACTTTAGCTCTTTGGAGAGAGTTTATTTCTATTTTTTGGGGGGGGGCCTTAAAACAGGGGTGTCAAACTCTGGCCGCGTTGTAATTATAATTATATGTATTATGAATGGATTACACTGCACATTACACAGGAGGGTTTTGGGGTTTTAAGGGGTTTACCCCTTAAAACAGGGGTCTCAAACTCTGGCCGCGTTGTAATTATAATTATATGTATTATAAATGGATAGCCACTGCACATTAGACAGGCCACCTGTCTGCCTCATTTTAAAACTCTTCTTAAAACCCACCTCTTTTCTTTGGCTTTTGACACCATGTAGAGCGTTGATTATATACACGCATTTTCCTCCTGTGCTGTGTTATTTATTTTTATTTATTCTATGTATTTGTATTGCTTTTATTTATTTTATTTATTGTATTTATTTTATTGCTTTTATTTATTTTTATTTATTCTATTTATTTTATTGCTTTTATTTATTTAATTTATTCTATTTATTTTATTGCTTTTATTTTTATAAAAGCAGCAGAGGTTGTGTGTGTATGTATATATATGAATATTTTTTTTATTTGAAATTTGATTTAGCATGTCTCCACTATTAAGTTATTATAATGTAATAAGAGTTGCTTGTTCCATAATCAATGTTAAAGCGAAATTCGTTTCGTTCCATTTTAAAAGGTTCATTTGTTCAATCTTGGCTTTGTTCAGGTTTTAAATGTTTTGGAGTTTGACCCCCCTGCATTAAAAAGAGGGGATAGCTCACCAAGTCGAGGCTCTGCAGCCTGAAGCCGTACGCGGCCCCCCGCCTGCTGCTGTTCATGTAGTTCCCAAAGGCCAAGACCACCTTCAGACAGGAAAACACAGGAGAACAGATGTGAACAGATGAACCACAGCCAGGGCCGTGCAGAGACCACTAAAGGGGCAGGTGCTCAGAAAAAAAAGGGCATTTCTAATCACATTTTAGGACAGAATATTAACAAAGTCACATAGCTTTCAAAGTTTAATGAACAAGGATAAATTACAAAATTGTGAAACATACAATCAGAGCTAAGGAAAATCTGTACATAGAACATAGAACTATGCATATGTAAAATATTTTATCAGTAATTTCTTTCTGCAGGTCTATTTTATTTTAGGAAGGTATTACAATATTCAAACCTGCAATTTAGCAAAATATGTAAATCAGAGCTGGACCACCAGACATATTTTGTCTTTACAGAATTAAACTGTTAAAAATGCATACAAGGGCACAATGCAACCTTTTAGTGTGACCAGAGGGCTTATTGTGTCGTTTTTATTGAAAAAAAAAAAAGATGATAATAATAATTTCAGTACATGTGTCAAATAAAAAAAAATCTAATTAAAAGAAAAAAAAAAAAAAAAAGGACCAAAAGGTGCACATTGGGATCATGGAGCAAAAGGGGCAGGTGCTCAAGCCCACTTAGCACCCCCCTCTGCACGTGCCTGGCCACAGCTCCACCCGGTGGACGGGTTCTGCCACTGCGGCCCAGATAGAGGAATTATTTTGACCTGTTTCTGCTAGAAAATGCTAGAAAACGGTCACATGGAGCCCATTTTAAAAGAGTTAGCCTCACCCTCCTGTTGTCTGTTTTCTGCCTGTTTGGGGCTAAAAACCAGACGGATTCTTCCTGCTCTGCTGGTTAAAATCTGACATAAACCATCAACATCTGGGCCTCTGATCCAAACTAAAGTCCAGAGAATCACATTTTCTCCCTTTTTCTCCAAAATCTGCTCTGATTTTCTCCTAAACGTCACTGAAAGTCCTCTAACTTTGTTCAAAAGCCGCAGAAAAAAAGCCAAAAAGCTTCTCCACTGAACACTGAAACAGGTTTCCAGTCTCTTCTGAAGTCGTTTTTATTGTTCAACACCCAAACAGACGTTCAGCTCCAGTTAAAGCTTTAAGCTGCTGTTTCAGATGAGTTTTCTTCCATCTAACTGCCTAAAAGGACACAAACGGCTCCACTTAATGATTTTTTCTGGATAAAACTCCAACATCTGAGCCTCTATTCCAAACTAAAGTCCAGAAAATCCCATTTTCTCCCTTTTTTCTCCAAAATCAGGTCTAATTTTCTTCTAAACGTCACTGAAAGTCTTCTCCACTGAACACTGAAACAGGTTTAAGTCTCTTCTGAAGTCGTTTAACACAAAAACAGACGTTTAGCTCCAGTTTAAAGCTTTAAGCTCCTGTTTCTGATTTAGTTTTGCTATCTGAGCATCAAACAGACCTGAGAGGACAGCAGGTGGCAGCAAATGGGAAAACAAAACGAGGGGTAAAGAAGAGGAAATACCTCCAGGATTTTCTTCAGCTTGCCGGAGGACTTGATGGACATGGAGGCTGCGATGATGGCGTCCAGTTGCTATGGGAAACACAGCTGGTTAAAGCCAATACATTAAGCTTAATGTGACATAATTAGAAAAAATAAAAAAAATAAATGGACATGTTAGCCTAGCATAATCAGCACCTCTCTGGTCTTTGGACAATTATTTACAAACAATCAGGTGTTTATTCCTGCCAAGTAAACACTAACAACAAGCTAACTACGAGTTAGCTAACAGCTAAACACACCTGCAAACTACCCATTGATTTTACACTAACCAAGCTAAGTAGCTACATGCTAACTAGCCAATAGCTACACGCTAAATGTCATAAATCTTGGATAATGCCTTTTTCCACCAACAGGTAAGGAGGTGCCACTTAAGTGACAACATTTTAAAGATTTTTGATGCAACGCTGATGACACTTTACGTATTCAAAGGGATGCTTTAAAGCCAAGAAGCTCAATGAATGAATTTTTTGTCTCACCACACATTTACTTCAACCAAACACTAACAACAAGCTAACTACGGTTAGCAAACCGCTAAACACACCCGCTAATTACTCATTGATTGTACATTAACTGAGCTAACTAGCTACCCTCAACTTGCCACCTGTCCCTCCACCTGCCTGCATCTTGTACCTGCCACCTCCCCCTCCAACTAACCACTAGCTACATGCTAACTGTCATAGATTTTGGTTGATGCCTTTTCCCACCAACAGGTAAGGATGTGCCACTTTTCCTGAGTTAAGGATACTTCAATGACAACATTGTAAATATTTCCGATGATGACACTTTACGCACCCGCTAACTACCCATTGATTGTACACTAACCAAGATAACTAGCTACATGCTAACTAGCCACTAGCTACATGGTAAATGTCATAGATTTTGGTTGTTGCAGTCCTTTTTTCCACCAATAGGGAAGGATGTGCCACCTTTCCTGAGTTATTGATTAATACTTTTTGAGAGGTGAGACAGGTGAACATTAATAATGTAACTGACCTGATCTTGTATCTGTGATGTTTTAGTGTGTAATTTATTCTGTTGTGCCTTGTGTAAAGTCACTGTGTTTTGTGTAAAAGCCAAACTGGGGACGGGCGTTGAGAATTAGCCTTAGCTAAAATGTTGTCGTGTGTGACATGTTTCATGAAATATACTTGTCCCTATCAAATAAACGAATAAATAAATAAATAAATAAACATTGTAAATATTTCCGTGATGACACTTTACACACCCGCTAACTACCCATTGATTGTACACTAACCAAGATAACTAGCTACATGCTAACTAGCCACTAGCTACACACTATTGTCATAGTGATGATAAATGTAATATTGTGTCTACTCTGTAAGTCGCTTTGGATAAAAGCGTCTGCCAAATGCATAAACATAAACATAAACATAAACATAGCTACATGGTAAATGTAATAGATTTTGGTTGTTGCAGTCCTTTTTTCCACCAACAGGTAAGGAGAAACCACCTTTCCTGAGTTATGGATACTTAAGTTGCTCGAGGTTTCTGCCTGTTAAAAGGAAGTTTTTCCTTGCCTGTGTCGCCTAGTGCTTGCTCATGGTGGAAATAGTTCTCTCATATTGAACCGTTCCCTTTTTCTTATTTGCCTACAGTCTATGCTCATCTCCCATCAAAAGTGGCACTGCCCCCTAGAGGGTCAATTTGTTACTACATACTCTGTCTAGAAGCCCATATTTACGGACAAGCTTTAGCAGATCGTCCCCCAGACACTCTCGTTGAAAAACATAAAAGACCTCTATAGACGTCTTTGGCAGCCAATGAGTTGATAATCTAACTGACCTGATCTTGTATCTGTGATGTTTTAGTGTGTAATTTGTTCTGTTTTGCCTTGTGTAAAGTCACTGTGTTTTGTGTAAAAGCCAAACTGGGGACAGGCGTTGAGAATTAGCCTTAGCTAAAAATGTTGTAGTGTGTGACATGTTTCATGAAACATACTTCCATCCATCCATCCATTATCAATACCGCTTATTCCCTGATGGGGTCGCGGGGGGAACTGGAGCCTATCCCAGTGGTCCATCGCAGGGCAACACACAAGACATACAAGGACAAACAACCACTCACATTCACTCCTAAGGGAAATTTCCCCAATCTCCAACAACCTAACATGCAGGTTTTTGGAGGGTGGGAGGAAGCCGGAGAACCCGGAGAGAACCCACAGACACAGGAGAACATGCAGACTCCACCCAGAAAGGTCCTGGTTCCCCCGGGACTCCAACCCAGAACCCTCTGGTCCTGGTTCCCCCGGGACTCCAACCCAGAACCCTCTGGTCCTGGTTCCCCCGGGATTCGTACCCAGAACCCTCTGGTCCTGGTTCCCCCGGGGACTCCAACCCAGAACCCTCTGGTCCTGGGAGGCAACAGTGCTAACCACCACACCACCGTGCCGCCCTGAAACATACTTGTCCCTATCAAATAAACGAATAAATAAAATGAAAATACTTCAGTGTTGACATGGTAAACCCTCACCGGCTGCAGCCGCCCCACGCTGTCGGGGAGGTTTCCCATGAATGTGAGCGCGCTGATTCTCTGGTTTAGGCGGGGGATTTGGCTGAAGCGCAGCAGGAAGCGCTCCTCCTCGCTCAGATCCATCTGCGGTCGGCCCGACGCCTCGTGGCCCCGGAGCAGTTTCAGCTCCTGCTCGGTGGGGACGAACCGCTCAAGCTGCTCCAGGAAGTCCAGACTCAGGGCCCTCTGGTCGTACCTGAGAGGAGGGAACCAGTGGTGGAGAAAGTGCTCATACAATGTACTTAACCTCCTGAGACCCTGTGTCCTCATAAGAGGACGTTGCATTTTTGTCTCTCTTTACCATGATACTTCTTTTTTTCTTTCAGCTTTGACCTCTTGACCTCATAGCAGATGCTATCAGACACTGTTTGAAATCTAAAGTAAAATGGTTTTATACATTTCCATCCAATCATGTTCTTATTGTGTAATAGAAAAACTGTAAATGAGTCAATGGGACTGTCAGAACAAAATTGTAAAAACATTTAATTAAATATGTATCTCATATATCTTTAAAAAAAAAGCTAAAATGCATGCCAAATAAAAGCTCGGGTCTCAGGAGGTTAAGTAAAAGTACAAATACACAGACAAAAATGTACTCAAGTAAAAGTCAAAGTACCACATTATTATTTTACTTATGTTTATGTTTATGCATTTGGCAGACGCTTTTATCCAAAGCGACTTACAGAGTAGACACAATATTACATTTCTCATCACAATGACAATAAACTATATAGAGCAGAAACACTGATCAGAGTCAGTGGTGAGATAGAGATAGATGTAGAGGGACTACAGAAGGAGCTGTGGGGGGGTAGAGGTACGGGTTAGGGTTATTTTACTTAAGTAAAAGTAAGAAAGTACACGCTTTTAAAACTAGTTAAGTATTAAAAGTAAAAGTACTTGCCAACCATAATACCTAACGGCTTATATAATGTCATTAAGTGTACCTATCGTATTTAGTTTTAATAAATCAGTAATGTACCATTTTAATGAGCAATGCTGCAGATAAAGCATGTTTTTATTGTGTTTACCCCCTGTGACAGTTTAGATTTAGATATTTTATGCAGGTCCTGGTACTGTGCTGCTCTTCTTGAGGGAGGGCCTAATGGTTATTTCCCGCTTTGGATTGGTCCAGCGGACTGATTCTGCTCTCGCCATTGGATACTTTCAAACTAAAAGAACAAATAAAAAAACCAAAATGCGTCTTGGATGTAACGAGAAACGAAACGCTGTATAGAAATGTAGTGAAGTAGAAAGTACAGATACTTACTGTTAAATGTAGTGGAGTAAAAGTAGAAAGTATCCATTATTAAATCTACTTAAGTAAAGTACAGATACACGGAAATTGTACTTAAGTACAGTAACGAAGTTACTTCCCACCACTGGAGGGAACACACCTGGGGTGAGACGCCAGATCCTGTCCGACCCCCCCCCCCCCCCCCCCCCACCCCAACCATGGACTGTTTGTGTTAGAATGATGGTACATAAGTTATCATGCATTCTCTGAATTACATACAGTGGGGGAAATAAGTATCTGAGCCCTTGCTGATTTTGCAGGTTTGCCCACTTACAAAGAATGCTTATTTTTCCTCATCAGATGGTTATCATTTTTTTTATAAATTCATATGATGTGATTTTCTGGAATTTTCTTTGGGATTCTGTCTTTCACTGTTAGAATGTACATATGATTGAACTAAAAATGAACTAAATATGAACAAAAAAAAAAGTCTTCAAGAAGGGTTTTGCTTGATTTTGGTAAGTTCCCTGGATAAAAAATCTCGGGAAATTAAGTGGGAGGTGTTGTGTTTTCTGTGAAAATTGTTTATTTTTTTTAGTTCAGGTTTAATGTAAGCATTTAATTTAAACATGCAAGTAAAAATAACAAAACTATACAAATAAACAAATTTCACAGAAAACACAACAGACAATACACGCACCTTAGTTTAGCTTTGTCTTCAACTCAATTGTTTCTTTTTGCAATTAACTCAGTGCAATATTCATTGATGTTTCTTTTGTAATAACTCTGTGCAATAATATGTATATACTGTATATGCTCTTCCCCTGTATATATCTAGATCTTAGATATAAAAAACATATTTATTAAGCAGGAATAAGGTCTTAGCTCTGTCACATTGGTAGCCAAGTAATCAACATTTCGTTGTCAAGATTCACCTTGTGTTTTTTGTACAATGACAATAAAGGAAGTCTAAGTCTAAGTCTAAGTCTAAGTCTAAGTCTAAGAAAGGTTTGGGCTTCACGTACGACTCGATGGCCACGCAGATGTCCGACCCGGCCATCCCCTCCTTCCTTAGCGTGATGGCCAGGTTCTTGGCCCGGTTTGGCTCCATCAGGGTCACTCTGCTGACGGGCTTCTGGGCCACCTTCATCTTCAGGGTGCCCAGGTCCACGGGGGCCGACTGGGCTTTGGTTTTGAACTCCTCCTCAAAGGCATCCATGTCTAACTCCTGAGTCAGAGACAGAGAAAGAAACAACGAGCTAAACACATGTTAGCTAACCGCTAACCACCCACTGACTGTACTCTAACCGAGTTAACTAGCTACGTGCTAACTAGCCACTAGCTACATGCTAAATGTCATAGATCTTGGTTGATGCCTTTTTCCACCAACAAGTAAGGAGGTGCCACTTTTCCTGAGTTAAGTGACAACATTTTAAAGATTTTTGATACTGCGGTGATGATACTTTATGCATTCAAATTAATGTTTTAAAGCCAAAAAGCTGAATGACTGAATTTTTTTGTCTCACCAACCTTTTCTGTCACATTTACTTCAACATCTAGCATAAAAACTCTTCTTAATGTAAGATAATGTTATGTATTCCTGAGTACCTTAGGAGAGCAGTTTCTTTCCAAAAAATAAGTGTACATGTTAGCCTAGCATGATCAGCACCTCTCTGGTCTTTACACAACTATTTACAAACAATCAGGTGTTTATTCCTGCCAAGTAAAGAATAGCAACAAGCTAATTACGAGTTAGCTAACAGCTAAACACACCTGTAACTATCCATTGATTATACATTAACTGTGCTAACTAGCTACACTCAAACTAGCCACTGGCTACATGCTAAATGTCATAGATCTTGGTCAATCCCTTTTTCCACCAACAGGTAAGGAGGTGCCACTTTTCCTGAGTTATGGATATTTAAGGGACAACGTTGTAAAGATTTCCGATGCTACGCTGATGAAGTGGATGAAAACAAAAACTAAAGTGGTGCGGATAGACAGCTATGAGGAACATTTTCCGACCTATCTCCATGGCCGCCCACCCTGAGCCATGGTTCTGCTCGAGGTTTCTGCCTGTTAAAAGGAAGTTTTTCCTTGCCTGTGTCGCCTAGTGCTTGCTCATGGTGGGAATTGTTGGGTTTCTGTAGTTCACTTCAGAGTAGGGTCTGACCTGCTCTGTTTGGAAAGCGCTGTGAGACAACTGTTGTTGTGATGTGGCGCTATATAAATAAAATTGAATTGAATTGAATCATAAACAGCTTTTCTGATGATGCTGCTGAGGACTTAAACAGTAAAACAGGCCACAGTTTGCTGCATTTTCCTGGATTTTTAAAAACATTTTGTGACCAGTTGTCTCCTATTTGAACCCACAACCTGTTGGAGGAATCCTGCACGTTTTGCTGGTGTTTTAATGGGATTGACACGATCATTATTAGTGCATAAAAGTAGAAAGGGAGGATCCTAAAAACAAACAGGATGTGCTCGTGCCTGCAGGACGTGCTCATCGTCCAGCTCGCTGAAGATGGTCCCGACCACCTGCTCGGAGCTGAGCGCCTGCCAGTTCAACAGCGGGAGGCGGTATTTGGTCTGGATGCTCCTCTTCTTTCCTCCACCTGTGAGAGGGAGGAGAAATAAATGTCAATGTGATCATTTAGGATGTTTATCGAGGAGTTTCTGACTCTCGAGCAGGCGGTTTCATGCAATTTATGAAAGTTTTTCACTGGTTAAATGAAAGCTTTTCATTGGTTATAAACAAAGTTTTTAAATGGTTGGAAATGAAAGCTTTTCATTGGTTATAAATTAATCTTTCCACTGCGTGGAATTACAGCTTTTTATTGGTTATAAATTAAGTTTTTCACTGGTTGAAATTAAAGCTTTTCCTTGGTTATAAACAAAGTTTTTCACTGGTTGGAATAAAAGCTTTTCATTGGTTATAAATTAAGCTTTCCACTTGTTGGAATTAAAGCTTTTCATTGGTTATAAACAAAGTTTTTCACTGGTTGGAATAAAAGCTTTTCATTGGTTATAAATTAAGCTTTCCACTGGTTGAAATGAAAGCTTTTCATTGGTTATAAACAAAGTTTTTCACTGGTTGTAATTAAAGCTTTTCATTGGTTATAAATGAAGCTTTTCACTGGTTGGAATTAGGTTAAAACTATTTCCTTTGGAAATAATAAACACATACAGATATAATACACACATATATATATATACAGTATATATATATATATACACACAGACACAACCTCTGCTGTGTTATATTTTCCATTTCTAAATAAAAATCTAGATTAATTAAAGTTGCAAAGGAGAAGCTCTACGTTTTTAATTGGATTCACCATGTTCTTTTGCAGTGAGTTAACACAGGAAATATTTCATATCCTCTGCTCACTTTAATTTATTTTAAGGACATTTAAACTGGGATTGGAGCAATTAAAAACCTGACCTGATGGCTGGATGGTGTCACCTCCAGGACCTAAAGGCAGAGGTGGAGCCACTGCCAGAGGTGGGGGGGGTGGAGGAGGAGGAGCTATGGCCAGAGGTGGAGGAGGAAGAGGAGGAGGAGGAGGAAGAGGAGGAGGAGGAAGAGGAGGAGGAGGAGGAGGAGATTGTGCAGACGTTTCTGAAGAAGCTTCTGTTGGAGATTGTGAAGAAGAAGGAGCAGCATCTACTTGATCTTCAGCTGGGGGGAAAACGGAGCAAAAATGAATAAATAAAGAACAATTTATGTTAAAAATGCAGCAAAGTTTCAGGTGGTCTTTGGACAACTATTTGGAAACAATCAGGAGTTTATTCCTGCCAAGTAAACACTAACAACAAGCTAACTACAAGTTAGCTAACAGCGAAACACACCCGCCAAATACCCATTGATTATATACTAACCGAGCCAACAAACTACATGCTAACAAGCCACATGCTAACAAGCTACATGCTAACAAGCTACATGCTAACAAGCTGAATGCTAACAAGCTACATGCTAACTAGCTACTAGATACATAATAAATGTCATAGATCTTGGTGGACGCGTTCCCTTTCCCGCCAAGTAAACACTAA